AAAAAAAAAAAAGACTACTTTGTTAAGTGTAGGAAGAAGAAAATCCCAGCGGAGTGAGAGAGGGAAAAGGCTCTCTCCAATTGCCCTGAATGGAGTCACTCACCAGATGTCGACCTTCTCTGAGACGGGCTCATTCCGTATCACCTCTGGGGCCATCCAAGCAACGGTGCCAGCAAAGGACATTTTGGTGCTCTTGTCACTGAGCTCCTTAGATGTACCAAAATCTGAAATTTTCACTGCATCTGTGTGAGTCACTAAAACACTTTGAAAAAGAAAGAAAATATCCAAGTTATTAGTACTATTGAAAACCATGACTCGAAATGGCAACTGAAAATGTGTATTTCCTGCCTTGTACTTTGTGGAATGCAGCTTTCAGTTGGCGCATAACTGGGCATGCGCTATGCAGCATTGTGGGGCATGCGCTATGCACCATTACGGGGCATGCGCTATGCACCAGAAGCAGCTGCCTTCAGGTTTATTGAGGCAACCTAGAGAGCAGGTTTCCGGTCCCTGGTCTTGTCCTGCCTCTGCATTTGCTAGCCATGTAACCTTTACCAAGTTACTTGGTTCTGCCAAGCTGTTCTCATCTGCAAAGTGGAGATAACTCAGATTACAGTATCTTAGCCACAGTTCAGAACTGCTGGAAGTTCTCAAAGTAACTTACAAATATTTGTTTATATTTATAGGGCAAACTCACTTTACCCTATTTTGTGCCAGTGTCACAGGTTCCACCACAGAGATATTAATCTGGTTGATTGTAGGGAGCTGCTCGACTTTGCTGGGTACACGTGTGCGGTAATGCAGCACTACCTTCCTGAAATCATTTGGCTCTATGAACTTTGGATAAGGGTCTGTGCGCTGTACGGCCCCATATGGGTCATTCTGCGCTGACCTCTCTGAATTTTTATCTGAATTAAATGAGCTGAGATCCATAAAGCATCAGTACTCGAAATATATTGGCTTCCATTCTTACAAATCTCAGTTAATCCACTAAAGAAAGTGCGTCTTTCTAAACATTATTTAAATGATGCCAACTAATATGAACGGAACAAGGACACTAGGGACTCATTCCTTAAAAGACTAATGTGGATGCTGGGATTTCACTAGAGCTCATGAGGGGAATCTAAGCCTAAGTATTTCCACGTAGGTCATGTTGTATTTTTCACGGGTGTTACCTGACATGTGTCTTGGACCAAACTGCTCTGGTTGGCCTTAAAGATTAATACAAATCCAAAGTCCTGGCAGCTTCAGGAGACTGAATTCACTTAAAAAAATATGTTCAGAACTTTAGAATGTAAAGGAGTTAGGGAATAAGAGCCCTAATTTAGATACAGCAAGCTATTCTTTTTAATAATAAGAGGTTTTGTAGTCAATGGTATCTAACTCGACATTAGCAAACAAAATTTTTCAACTGATCTCCTTTCTTCTCTTTTTACCTTGCTCACACTAATGCCAAATTGTTATTAATCAAAAATCTCAGTGCTAACAACTGCTTAGAATACCTTCAGCCACAGCCTGTCTTTGGTTTTGTATCTGATGTGTAAAATTTACGTAATCGGGGAGTTTTGATTTTATAGGATTAGTGCTAGTGAAAATGCATGACAATTAAAATGTTTCAGGATATCTACGATAATTGGAAAATTATTATTGCCGTGTGCCATGAAAAGCAGAAAAAAGCGATAAGCCCCTAGAAAGACAAACACTGTACAAATGTCTACTTCTGCCTCAGTTTGCACAGAGGGATTGGATTTGGAAGGTTAGGGTTGATACAATGTCAGGACTTTGTTGAAATCCTGAAAAAAGTTGGGGCTCTACAGACTATAGATTTAATGTGGGTAATGAAATCTCTTGTTACATTGAGCCAGGTTAATATCTGTCTTCTTAAAGTCCACTTGAAATCCAGAGGCTCAGGTGACCCAGGGTGGCAGTCGTATGAATGACAGGAGAAGACTCACTAGAGGACCAATCTACTCCTTTAACCTTTAAATGACAGGAGTAAAGGGGAATACTCCTGATGCATACTCATGATTGTATATATTCCAAGATTTCCTGACTCCTCTCTGAAATGAATTCTCCAGGAGAACATGATGGTTAAAAAAATAGATCATTAAAGATGCCCTTGGCAAATATTTCACGTACTTTAAGTGTATGTATGATACAGCAAAAGCAGGGCCGGCAAGATAGCTCAGCAGACTAAGTGCCTGCTTAGACAAGCACAGGGACCAGGGTCTGATCCCCGGCACCACATGCTGTACCAGTCCTGCCCCCGGGCATGCTGAGCTGGCCACTGAGACCAGCATAGTGGCACACACCTGTAATCCCAGCACTGTGGAGGCTGAAAACAGGAGGATCACTACAAGTCTGAGCAGCATAGTGAGACCCTGTACCAAATACGTTAAAAAAAAAAAAAAGAATATAGCAAAAGCAGCAAATTGTGTAAAAACTGTCAGCAGAAGGAACAAGCACTATGTGTTAATATTTGTTAATAGTAACATTAATATATGTTAATATTTTACATAAAGCAAGGAGGCAGTTCAATAACTAGTTGCTGTAATCAACATTGTTGAGAATGCGGGCAATAAAGGAGAGCTGCTTTAGACTTATATTCAAACACAGATTTTTGTCTTCCAAGTAGAGGAGGCAGGATTCATTGTGAAACCTTTACCTTCCCAGGCTGAGCTAGGATGCAGGAATCATTGGTTCAAAAGTTCTGGTTCAGGGTCTAGGGCCATGACTCTGAGTTGAGGCCCAGTTTCTATTTTGTAAAATAAGAATAATGACATTTCCATCTCTATCCCACATAGTTTTTGCCAGAATTTAAAAGGCTATGATAATAATGGATAGTTAAAAATGTTATTAACATGAAAACACTATGCAAGTGTGTTTTTGAAAAGAGATCAGTTTTTCTATAAACCAAAATGATGAGAAATAATAATCTTTTAAAATAGGAGCTACATGGAAATATACCATCTTATCAATTTCTTTTTTGCATTCATGCAATTTGGGGAACTGAATACCACTTCTCTTAAAGTGGTCACTGCTTACTAAGGAATCATTTTGAAAATACAGATTCTAAAAAACAGCTCTGCCTCCCTCTGTATCTTATGGCTGTTGTAACTATAATCATTTATTTTTTGTTTTGATGAGGAGCTTGGAAACTCAAAGCCCAATTTGTAGTCCACCACTGATCACTGTGTAGAGTTTTATGGCATATCCTTTGTGGAGAATTCTTGGTTCTAGTGTTTTTATGTTCTCTTTGTATATGTTTCTTTTTTTCTTTTTTTTTTTTAATTTTATTTATTTATTTGTGTGTGTGTGCAGCCAGCTCAGCCCACCTGGGGGCGGGGCTGGCTGGCATGTGGTGCTGCGGGATTGAACCGCGGTCCCTGTGCTTTGCTGAGCTTGTTCTAAGTAGGTGCTTTAGACCACTGAGCCATCTCACCAGCCCTGTATATGTTTCTTTTTCTTTTTTTTTTTTTTGGTGGAACCGGGGATTGAACTCAGGCCTTTACACTTGCCAGGCAAGCGCTTATTCTACTGAGCTATCTCCCCGGCCCCCTGTATATGTTTCTTATTCATCTATTTTTATCCTCATCTATACATTTCAGAATCTCAATTAAAAAATTTTTTTTGAACACAGTAGAAGACAAACCAAGACTTTAAGTGGAGAAGTATGGCATTAATTATCTGTCATAATAAAAGATATTTCAGGTAATAATTAATTTAATTACACAGTTGTACAATGAAAAGCAGCAAAACAGGAAACTGCTCTCAACCATAATCCAAATTAGTTCAACAATAATCCAAAACTTACTCAAGTAGATTAACCACAGAGTTGACTTAGACCGAACTATGAATATGATGTCGATAACAATTCTTTTTTCAAACGACAAAACAAAAGAGATGAACTCACTTAGGTGATTTGAGATCACGGTGAATAATTTTATGGAGATGCAAATAATTCATTCCACTCGCAATGCCCGTGGACCAGTCTACTAGCAACCGAGGTGTGATCTTCCTGCCCGCTCGCAAGACTTCGTAAAGCTGTCCGTGCGCACAGTATTCCATGATAATACAGTAACACGGGGCCTGCGTACAAACACCCCTGCCAAGAGAATGTAAAAATGTACGTAAATATAGGCATACAAACAGACACGCATGCAGATTTTCAGAATAACAAAGACGACTTCTCTATCCAAATGATTTAAGATGCATACACGTAATTCCTCCTAATTCTTGAATTAGCATTGAAGTTTTCTGGGCTGCAGGTTCTGTTTTGCACATAGACAATTTCATTCTGTTCTCTTCACTCCAGATATCTCGAGGCTATACTGTAGCTGGTGATTTTATGTAGGACTTTTCCACTCTGGAACAAACAGTATTTTTTTTTCTGAGGGCTGGTGTGGTTTTAGATTGTTAAGAATAATTTAAAATAGCTTCTTTTTGAATATAGATCGAGGGTTTTGTATGTGGTACACAGAGAATTCAAACAAAATGTTGCTATTTTATCATTTGTTGAATTTTACATTACTGAAATTGAGAAGTAACTAGACTGAAGATGCCTGAAGTCAGTTTTCTATCTTATATAGTATTGGGAAAACATTTGTTTAGAATAAAAATATCATATATGGTAGACCTCTGTGCAGCCTAACCTTCTGTCTTTTCCTCCATCTTCTGGGAAGTCTTTCTTGATTATTCCAGCGCAAAAAAATATCTTTCTTTCAGGTTCCTATGACACAGAAGGCCTTAGGTTGTTTTGGTTTGGTTGCTTTTCTTCTTTTTTTCAATAATGAGGATTCTCGGGGACTTGGCACTGAAGTGCATCTTCAACTCTTTTTAAATTTTTTATTTTGAGACAGAGTCACTAAATTGCCCATGCTGAGTTTGAACTTGTGATCCTTTTGCCTCAGCCTTTTCACAGGTAAGGCTCAGAATGAAAGTGGATTATCTTAATCACAGCTACCAGTAGTTCATGTCAGTGACAGATTCCAGCACCATCCAATCTCACAGCTTGCCGCCTTTCCCCTCCCTGTACTCTGCTGCCTCCTTTTCAGCCTCTTAACTTCTGAAGCACATCGGGGATTCCTACATTAATACCATTAGCTGATAAAGGCGGAAATAATTCTAGTGGCTCTATTTCACAGTTTTGTCCTAAGTTGAAAGAAAAAAATTATTACATGTAATTGTCTGTGTTGTGCCCCTTAAGGGTACATACACTTCTCTTTAAAACTTTCTAGAAAAGTTAACAGAAGTATTGTTTGCAAGACCTCACTTGAAGTCTCCGCCCACTAGTGATCCATGTCCTATCTCTCAGGCTGCTGAAAGAGAGGAAAGCATTCTAAGGCCGTGACTTGAAGCGCCAATCCGTGAAGGACTCGTAACAGCAGAAGGCTGTGCAGAATGTAAAGAGCCTCCTTTCTCCTTGCTTTGGTGTGCCTGTCAAATGCTATAAAGCTATTTCTGGACTCTCCAGAATTCTCATCTCGATTTTCTCTCTCTTTCTTGCTTGCCTGCCTTCCTTCCTTCCTTCCTTCCTTCCTTCCTTCCTTCCTTCCTTCCTCCCTCCCTCCCTCCCTCCCTCCCTCCCTCCTTTCCTTTGCATTTGGTACAGGGTCTACGGGATCTCACTACCTAGATTGGACTCGTAGTGATCCACCTGTTTTCAGCCTCCCAAGTGCTGGGATTACAGGCGCACACCACCACGCCCAGTTTCAATTGCTGTCTCAGTCACCCTGGGGGTGGGGCCTGCAGAGCAAGCCAGGATTGAACCCTGGCCACTGCGCTCTGCCTAAGCAGGTTCTTTAATCTGCTGGCTGGCTCCTCGCCTTGATTTTCAACGAAAGCTTTTCAAGGGAGCCGAGGAGATAGCTTAGTGGAATAAGCGCTTGCCTGGTAAGTGCAAGGGCCTGAGTTCAATTCCCAGTTCTGCAAAAAAAAAAAAAAAAAAAAAAGAAAAGAAAGAAAAAATAAAGCTTTTCAAGTATCTGCTATTGGATTTTTATAAAAACTCAGTGGAGTACAGGTACAGAGAAACTATAAATAAGTTAATTGTCATTGCAGAGAAGTAATAAACAGGAAAGGAATAATGAAATGTGCTCAAGAATACCAAGATAAATACTCATTTAAAGGCATCAGCATCTTATTTATGCTTTAACTTGTGACACATATACAGAAAGATTCTAAAAGTGTTATGTTATAAACTTTTCATCTCTCTCGACTTACGAATGAAATGAGAAGCAATTCTTCTAGCAGCTCTGTACTACGACAAGGCTTCTTAGTACCTATAAATAACAGCTTAATAATCACTTAATTCTAATTGCTACCTTTTCTTCTCTTCACACTGAATTTCATTAGGAACAGTCAGGTTGGATTTTCTTAAAAGATTATTTAAAAGGAAGGAAAAAAATAGTATTCTTGTCTTGTGCTTCTTTTTCTCTACATGGTTCCTCTGAACTTCAAAAGAAGCTGGAAGCCCAGAAATGACTCTCTAGGGAGCCGTTAAGATCTCCTCATGCCTGTATCCTCCAGACAGTCCTGGATGGATTCACTGGCCAACAGCACATGGCACAGATGGGTGCCAACACGACACTGCACAATGCCCCAAGAGTGTGGTGGAGCGGGCCAGGGACACAGTCTCGCTATTGTTTTCCATGTAGAGGTAAAGACTATGCAAGTATCTTCGGCTTAAAGAGCTGGGCGCTAGCACAGCCATGCTTGCTCAGCAGCGCTGAAAGCTAGACGTGGAGAGAAGATTGTTAGGAGGGGTAGGCAGGAACGCCAAGAGGAAAACAGAAGCAAAGACAAGGAAGGAAAAATAAGGCTTCTCCCTCATCCATCCCCTCCTAGGGCACATCCTACTTTCTTCTGCCCAGGGCATCCTCCTGGAAGACTCGCTTCTCACCTCACTCCTTCATGCTGCCTGGAGAATACTGGCCCTTGGTCTCCACCTAATGATCTCAGCTTAAAAGCTCATGGCTTTTTCTTCCACTTAGCAGGGCCTGGCATGCAGAAAGCGTGACTGTCTCAGAACAGTAAAACGAAGGAAAGAAGAGGGTCTCTTCTCAGCGGATTTCCTGAAAACAATCTTCCCATTATCTTTTGCAATCTACCAGCTTTGGACAAATTCTAATTGGTTTCTATGGCGTTCATTTAGTCTCACTTCCTTTTAGCCCCACGAGAGCAAGCAACGCGGGTATTACACCAGCCACCCAAGCTCGCTCATGTCCGCGGAGTGAGGGTCCTTCCCCTGAGGAAACGAGTCTGCATGCTTCCTCCCTGTTTGGTGTCCCAGTCAAACGCCTCTTTTCACTTGTATTTTCCCTTCCATCAAGATCTTGTAAGGAAATTAAATTGGCCTCAGTACTCATTTATTTACTTATTTTTTATGTATTTAGTATATTTAGGACCTGGTCTACAGGGTCTCATTACATAGGTCGGACCTGTAGCGATTCTCCTGTTTTCAGCCTCCCAGCACTGTGATCACAGGCGTGTACCACCACACCGAGTCTCAATCACTGTCTCAGCGCGCCCCAGGGGTGGGTCTGGCGTGGAAAAATGGGGATCAAGCCCCAGTCCACTGCATCAGTACTCATTTAAATCTATTCTACCAAACCCATACCCAAGATGTATTTTTCTAACTTTAGCAACATGATTCCCACTATGACTTATCACATGACATTTTGAGTTTTATAATGATGGTGTTATAAGAGGAAACACCTCCCTTGAGGCTGAGGAAAAGTGGCCCCTAGCTTAATTCACAGGACATTTCACTTCTTTCAACTACTGCCTCATCAGGTAAACTGTTTTCCAGGAAGGAAAAATGTATATCAAATTTGCCTGAAGCTGTAGTTTCTAAACCTGCATCCTCTTTCAGGACTATAATTCCCACCTACTCTTTACCTTTTCTCCTCTAAAACCACTAGCTATTCATTTGTGCAGGCAACATTTGAGGGCTGGCACGGGAGGGAGGGAGTGCGAAAGGGAGAGACCGCATACATTTAGAGCTCAGCATCTCTGGACTTGGTGACGTCCCCAGATTACCACTGACTTTCCTCCTGCTAGGGTTCTGATCAGTGTTGGGTAGGCAACAATCTAACTAGAAGGACATGCTTGTATGCTCCTGGAAAGAAATATTTTGTGAAAGAAATATAACAGAACTTAGTAGCATCAATAATTCTACTGCTGGGAATATAGCTCAGTGGCATGAGCGCCTGCCTGGTAAGCGCAAGGTCCTGAGTTCAATCCCTGGTACCACCAAAAAAAAAAAAAAAAAAAAAAAAGAAAGAAAGAAAGAAATAATTCTACCAGATTAGGAAGTTGTGTGTGGCATTACTAGATAAGAAGTCTAGAAAACCTGAGACTACTTTAATTTAATAATTAAGAATTAATGACAATGGAAACAAATGACTATGCATCACCCAAGAATGATTATTTTCTGACTGTTTTAGATAATAACTTTGTTTCGTAAATGAAATTTGGGGATGCGCAGGTTACCTGCAAGTGATCTCTGTCATCCTATGGATTAAAGCGGTTGATGTCTATCTGGCCGCTCGTGGGAATCTGCCTCCTCCCTCCGTGCACACCCCTCCCGTGAAGCACACCTCCTGGCGACGTGCACTAGCTTAAAGGATGCTTACGGTTGTGACTCAGGCTTACTAGTTTTTATGTAGTTTTAGTTTTTCTGTTTTCTTTTTTGTTGCTGTTGTGGTATTATGGATAGAACCCCAGGCTTTCACAGGGAGCTACATCTCCAGCCCTTTCAACTTTTTTTTAAATATAATTAATTTTTTTTTTTTTTTGAGGAAGGGTCTTGCTGGCCTTGAACTCACTGTGTAGCCCAGGCTGGCCCAGAACTTGTGGCAATCCTCCTGCCTCTGTCTCCTGAGTGCTGGGATTACAGGTGTGCATCACCACTCTCCTTTCCAGCTCTTTTTAATTTTCTTTTCAAAATTTTGAGACAGGGTCTCACTACGTTGCCCACCTTGAGCTTGAATTGCAGTACTGCTGCCCAAGCTTCGTAGAGTGCTAGGACTACAGGTATATGTCCCTGTGCCTAGCTCTAATCGCTCTTCAGTACTGTCTCCAAGCAGTTTGCGCAGTGATAAGTCTATTTAATAGCCCTAAAATGTTGTTCAAATTGGAAACTTATGAGCATGTTTGGGGAAAGAAAATATCTCTATTTCTTAAAAACAAAAAAAGCCCTTGACTTACTTGAATGCGATGATGTTCGGGTGCTTCAGCTTCCTCAGATGCTTGATATCCGTCTCATTCTGTTCTCTCACTTTCTTGATGGCCACCTCTTCCGCTCGGAATTTGCCCAGGAAGACAGCTCCCTGGGCTCCGCTACCGAGCCACTGGAGCTCAGAGATCTCCTCAAATGGCACTTCCCACGTATCTGGGCGCACAGGGGAAAGCAGGCATGTAAGACCTTGGAATTTGCTGAGGAGTATTCTACAAAGTCATGCTGCAGTTACTAAGGTCATCGTCCCCCGGAGTGACCCCACCTTCTGACTCCTCCCACCAGACACAATCTTTCTATGGGCCTTGGAACTAGAGACCACATACTGATGTATCTTAGCATACACCCTTGTTTTACGCACTGAAGTCAATAGACTGGAGAGGGCTCCTGTATACTCTCTGCCCACAGTCCAGCACGCCTCTGATCCCACCTCCTCACCTTAAGCTTGCATGTTCAGCCAACTTTTCTGTCTTAGTACCACTCTTCCCACCCCATCACTTTTATAGGTGTTTTTTTCCTTTGTGAGTTTCCAGCACAGATGCCCAGTGAATCCTTACAACAACATTCTTCCAAGAACCTCACTACACCTAATATTTAAGTTACAATTTGCCTTCTGAGGGCTCCCGGCATGCACCAGCACAGGGCTTCACATGCGCTGTATGTTTCACCCTATAACAGCCCCGCAAGTCTGGCCTGATTATAATATAGTATTTAAAGTTTAGGAAACTAGGTATAGTGTGCCTAAGTGAGCTACCCAAGGTCCTATGGCTGTAAATGACAGAAGTGGGCCCCAAAGTGACAGAACAGAGCCTGGCATTTCTAGGGAGTGTCTTTCCCCCGTACCCACCCTGCCTTTCATGAAGTTACTCAGTGGAATAAGTCATGCTCAGTTTTCGAGCTTTTCTTTTTCTTCAGACTTTGCTTTATTTTTGCACCAAAATGTAACAGGGGTTCTTTCTTTCTTTCTTTCTTTCTTTCTTTCTTTCTTTCTTTCTTTCTTTCTTTCTCTTTCTTTCTTTCTTTCTTTCTTTCTTTCTCTCTCTCTCTCTCTCTCTCTCTCTCTCTCTCTCTCTCTCTCTCTCTCTCTCTCTCTCTCTCTCTCTCTCTCTCTCTTTCTTTTCTTTCTTTTTTTGTATTTTAGGGAAGGGTCTACAGGGTGTTTAGGGTCTCACTACTAGATCGGACTCATAGTGATCCGCCTGTTTACAGCCTCCCAAGAGCTGGGATTACATGGCGCCACCAAGCCCAGTCTCAATCACTCCGGGGGTGGGGCTGGCACAGCAGGCCCAGGGATCGAACCCCTGGCTCCTGCGCAGGGGCTTTAATCTGCTGAGCTATTTGGCCGGCCCTAACAGGGGTCATTTCTAAGTGACACTATGATTCATGTTATGATTTTTCCTCCTTTTCTATATTAATTTTCTTTTTTTTTTAACTGTAAGCCTATACCATTTTTATAATGAATTTTATTTTAAAATATAGCACTTCAAAAAATGCACTCAATATGTACTTATAATCTCATGAAAGGTAATAATGCAACTGAGCAGCCCTCCTCTCTGTCCCTCTTCTTACCAGAATGTTAGCATAGGGAAGAAGTAAACATCAAACAGCCGGAATCCCCACAGACTGAGGAGCAGGCGATGACGCTACTGAAGGCTATGAGAGACTCTCCTCAGAGTACTAAAAGGTCACTGTGTGCAGAACAGGAAATAAAGTAGTGTAGGGTGGACTCTGGAGGCATTCTGGCCTTGGAAGCAGCAGCAAGAGCAGAAAACTGCAGCAGCAGCTTGTCAGATTCTTAATAAGATGTCGTTCCTCATCCCAGTGACTAAAAGCCGACCCTCCTACTACAGGGAGCGGGAAACTAGTCAGAGCGGACGTGCTTGGTGGCATGGCCACCACTCCATTCTTCTGGTAGGAGCAGCGCTAAGAGAGTCTGCTCCGCTGAAAGCGAGCAAGTGCTATCTGACAGCAAAGCCTTCTGATATTGGTGAGCTACTTGGCTTACGAATGTGAAATCTCCAAAGGAACGAGTGATGCGAAGTGAGACTGGGGAGCAAGCAGCAAGTTCTGGGCGTGACTATTTCGAATAGATTTAGGGCCCCTGTGAAAAATATTAAATGGCTTGTGAAATCTCACTTGTATTCCCACAGGCTTATTCCTGATGCACGCAGACATCGATAACACAATGTAAAAGAATTTTTCTTATGGGATGATTTTCCATGAAGAAGTAAAAGCTGTGTCATTCTGACCGCTCCGGGGGCTGAATAAAATATTATTACTCAATGCTGGGACATGTCTTTAAATAACTTTATAAAAGTCCTAGTTAGTTTAATTTTTAATACAACTACTTAAACTAGTCTAAATGTTGGGTGTCTTTTGCTAAAATTTTCAACTTGATTCATGTATTATGGATTCTTCATCATGTAAGTTTGATATTTTTTTTCTCTTTACACTATCTCCTCAGATTCACTTCCGAGGCTGAAGAGTAAAATGTCTGGATTTTGCTAGTTTTTGTTGATGGCGGTAAAGTAAGAAGATTTTGCTCTTATCATATGTCTGCTAGCGATTTGTCAGTTACTTTTGAGGATTTTTTTTGGATTTAGGACAAGGTGTACAGGGTGTTCAGGATCTCACTGCGTATCGTGCTTGTAGTGACCCTCCTGTTTATAGCCTCCCAAATGCTGGGATTACAGGTACGCGCCACCAAGCCCAGTCTCAATGGCCATCTCAGCATGCCCCAGGGGTAGGGCTAGCACTTACTTTTGAGTTCTAACTTGACTAAGTGTTTTATAAGTTTGCACTAGTTGCTCTGCAATACAGAATATTTTCTTCACACTTGTTTAATACATTTGCTTTCTATAAATTGTGGAAATCTCCTTGGCCAATATGTAGTAGGGTCTCATAGTTCTTATAAATTTGAAGAAGCTCTTTTTCTCTCTTTCTTTGATACAAATGAAGAAAGTATTTCAACAAGCCCTTTTCTTCTAAGTTTAATATGTTGGAAGTATTTTATATAATTTATCATTTCTTTTGCCATTTGCTCCATTGCCCAATCTATTTTGTAAAAGTTATTTACAAAATAACTGTAGTTTATTAAAAAAATTAACCTTTATATACATCTGGAGTTTATTTTGATGTATGTGTGAGACAGATGTAAATGAATTTTTAACCATATTGTTATTCAGTGATTCCATAGTGATACGTTAAATAATCTTCTCTTTTCATACTGCTTTGTAATACTTACCTTGTAATTACTGTATTTTAAGAAACAGTGGCTATTATTTAGTTTCTTTATAAAAGGAGAAATAAGTGGATTATTAAAGAATAATCAACAAGTACATTTGGCATTTAGGTATCAACTGTTTAAAGTATGATAAAGGTAAAATTCTCCTCTATCAGCAGTGGCTCACGTCTGTTATTCAGCTACATTCAGTCAAGCCTTAATTATTCAGGAAGAGTAAAGGGTGTGGCACTGATAATTCGAAACCACAGAGTTTAAAATAAAGTAATTCTTCCGTGTTCTTTTTTTTTTTTTTTT